GGACCTGTTATACTACATGTGGAACGAGGAGAGGGAGCAGGTGGCACTGGAGGACGCCGTGAAGCTCATTGACAAATACGAGATGGACGAGACAGGTAGGTTCAAACCACGAAACCCGACTGACCTGGCTATGGTCCACGCAGCGTCTCTGATCTCTCTCCTTCTCCTCTGGTCTGCAGCAAAACAGAAGAAGCACATGACCAAAGATGGCTTCCTGATGTACCTGCACCATGGAGAGGGATCCATCCTTAACCCAGCCCACAAGGGGGTGTACCAGGACATGAGCCAGCCCCTCAACCACTATTACATCTCCTCCTCACACAACACGTACCTGATGGAGGACCAGCTGAAAGGACCCAGCAGCACAGAAGCCTACATCAAGTAACTACTACTACACCAAACAGTGTCAAATAAAAATACTCTCCAAAGGAAGACAAAGGATGGAAAAAAATTAAATATAATATTGAAGTCAGGTTTGCCGGCTTTAGAAAATGTAATAAATGTCAGAGAGCAGATGTTTCAGGTCCGTAGACGACGTCACAGGCCAGAGTTACAGTACTTTTCCAGATACTTTCCCATTCCAGATTCTAGAACTTTATACATCAAGTACTGTGTTCCTCTCAGAGCACTAATGAAGAGCTGTCGCTGTGTTGAGCTGGACTGCTGGGACGGGGCTAACGGGGAACCGGTGATTTATCACGGCTACACTTTGACCTCCAAAATCCTGTTCAAGGACGCCATCAAAGCTATCAAAGAATTTGCCTTCAAAGTACGTAAGTGTTTCCTACGAGGAACCACCTGATCCTGTCGTGAACCAATCGATACGTTCCTTATTCTAAGTAGCGGTGAGGAGCCTTTGACCTTCAACCTTCTGCTGTCCTCACTTTTCAGACATCTGAATACCCAGTGATCCTGTCCCTGGAGAACCACTGCTCCGTGGACCAACAGAAGCTCATGGCCCATCACATGATCTCCATTCTGGGTGATGCTTTGGTCACAAAGCCTCTGGGCAACACCATGCCCACCAACTTCCCCTCACCTCAGGTGTGTGCTCTGAAAAAAAACACCACTTATTCTTTTATTTATCTTCCTTCACCTTGACCTCCTTCTACACATCCCTCCTATCCTTCCTCTCTTCCCCTTTCTTTATTTCCCTTTTGTTGTGCTACTGCCACCTACTGGTCGTTTCATCTTCATCTCCTCAGTTGCAGCTCAAGCCTTCATTGTGTGATAAACACCAACAGGACACCACACCTCAAAATTACAGCATTAAACAAATTCAAACTCAGTGACATCATCGTTTTTTCCATTTTCCTGTTTACTGTGAGTTCACATTAGGTTTGTTTAGAAAAGGAAGTATTTCATTAGGCTAAAGTTCTTCTCAATATCTGATGGACCAAAAATAAAAGACAACACCACAAGTTTACTGATAACTGATAATACATATAAATACTTATATATTTTTTTTCCAATTGGAGACAATTCTGTAAAATTCTGAATGAGAATGTCTTCAGTTTGAACTGCGTTCTGTGCCTTATTCAGAATACACAATCTGTGAGCCTCGGAGGAAAATGTGATGCAGTCATTATCCATGATCCATTACTGAACTTTTTCCTTCCTGTCATAGATTCTGAGGAGCAGGTCCAGTCTTAAGGCTTTTCCACTTTACTGAATGAAAATTTGATTTTCAACCCCAGATATGTGGGGGGGGGGGGGCACCACAAAAAGTAGCTGTTGCTTCACAAAATTTGGACAACTTTCCAACTTTATTTTCCAGAGATTTTAAAACAGCATCAGATGGAATAAAATACAGTCAGATTTAGAGAAACCTCACTCAAAACAATAATGCTTCTCAATAAAAAATGTCTGGGAGCTGATCCTACTCCTCCCCCACTCAATATCACATGTTACGTGTTACATCACTGCCACCTATTGGCCTGTTTTAAACTGATTATTGTGTCTTCCCAATGATTAAGTGCTGACAGAAAACTCAAAGCAAAAGAAAATACAGGCAGAGGGCAGCACTGTACACTTCTAAGGGGTAGTCGGTTAATAACGCTTCTCAATAAAAAATTGTTGATCCTACTCCTCCCCCACTCAATATCACATGTTACATGTTACATCACTGCCACCTATTGCACTGTACACTTCTAAGGGGTAGTCGGTGTGATTTTATAGTATTTCTTCACAAAGTGACAGAATACAATATCACAAAATCATTTAATACATACATTCGACAAAGGGATGTTAAAGAATTGAACAGATATATTGGCTAACTTCCTTCGTCTTTGTGAGTGCAGCAGCTGAAGGGGAAATTCCTCATCAAGGGGAAGCGACTAAACAAACTGGATGCTGTCTTCAGCAACAACAGCACCATAGAAGAAGACACAGTGTCGGAGGAGGACGAGGCCGCAGATTGTAAAGAGAATGAACAAAAATCCAAATCAAAGGTTGGTCCCTGACAACACGTCGGTGTAAAAATAACTCCTGACTAACTGCGAGTGTGCCACTGCCGTAAACAACCTGAATTATCATGTCCTTTGCAGAAATCCAAGATCAAACTGGCCAAAGAGCTGTCCGACCTCGTGGTCTACTGTAAGAGCGTTCACTTCAACGGCTTTGAACACGCCAAAGACAACCAGGCCTTTTACGAGATGTCCTCCTTCAAAGAGAGTAAAGCCTTCAACCTGGCTGAGTCCTCAGGTAAACACTCAGACCAGCTGAGGCGCTGAGAAAAACACCATGATTTCTGTGGTTTAAAGTTATGGTTCTCTTCTCACAGCTACTGCCTACATGCATCACAACATGGACAAACTGAGTCGGATTTACCCAGCAGGCTCCAGAACTGACTCTTCCAACTACAACCCTGTGCCCATGTGGAACGTTGGCTGTCAGATTGGTAAACTTTACGCTCTGGAGGCAGAAATCCAACCCATAAACATCAGACTACATTTAAAATGATTGACTGTGGTTCCAGTTCCCTCATTCTAAATTTGGTTTTCAGTGGCGCTGAACTTCCAGACTCCCTCCAAAGAGATGCACGTAAACCAGGGACGGTTTCTGCAAAATGGTGTCAGTGGCTACATCCTGAAACCGGAATTCCAGAGGAGTCTGTCTTCCCAGTTTGATCCCAACACACTAACCAAAGGGCCCTGGCTGAAGAAGAAGGTTTTCCATGTCATGGTAAAATGAATAAATTCTGTTTATGATCTATTTAATGCACTTTATAGATATAATACATAAATAATGTTTGTAAATCTTAGTAATTGTTAAAAAATTTTTTTTTTTAATTTTCAGTTATACAAATATTCATGTACATAGCCAGTCATGGTCAAAAGCTTTTATGCAAATGTGCTGTTGGTATAAATGATCTTTTTTGGTGTTTGTCTATTATCAGATTATCTCAGCTCAGCAGTTGCCCAAGGACAAGGACAAGCACAAGTCCATCGTGGACCCTCTGGTGAGGGTGGAGATCCATGGTGTACCAGCAGACAATGACAGCAAAGAGACGGACTATATTGAAAACAATGGTATTTTGAGATTGTTCCTACTGCACCAGTGTCTAATACAAGTTCATGTTAATCAGTGAGTTAATCATCTGGATGATATTCCAGGCTTCAAACCCATGTGGAATAAAAACTTCCAGTTCACCATCCATGTCCCAGAGCTGGTCATGGTGAAGTTTGTGGTGGAAGACCATGACTCAACGTCCAATAATGATCTCATTGGCCAGTACTGTCTACCACTCACCAGTATACAGAACGGTAAGTCATTTGTTTATGGTTTCAACACTGAAATTTCATCTTAATAATTATTTTTAGCCTACATTAGCGTCTTTTGTGCTCTGTTTAAGTTAACTATAAACAATTTCCGATTTTAAACGGATCTATTATTCCCCTAGGCTATCGCCACGTGCCCCTGCTCACCAAGCGGGGTGACGTGATCAGCTCAGCCGGACTCTTCGTGCACCTCATGATCCTGGACGCTCCGTAGACTGGTGTGGAAAAGCCTTAACCCAGACATTTTGTGTTTGTTTTCTTTCGTCTTGCACGCAGCTGCTGACTCAGACTGTCTGTAACTTTTTCCTGTCTGTTTGTACTTGTAGCTTTTTAAGCAGTGGTTTTACAGAGCTTCATCTGAGAGTAATGGAAAAAAGAGTGAATGAAAATGTGAATGAAAAGTGGGTTTATGAAATTATTTAAAGAAAGGCATGAAACTGTCTGCTGAGATTTTATTTCCTTTTACAATCATTACAATGTTTTTTTCCAAGCAACACAACAAGCACTCAACTAGTTTAGTCATTAAGCAAAGGTGTGGGTTCGAATATGTAGGCACAGAGTCCGCAGCTACTCTAGCACTGAGCACCCTCTGATGTGTGGAACTGTACGACTTCATTCTGTGTTTATAGCCCTAACATTGTGGGTTTCACATCTCTCTGTGTTTTTTAAGCAGCAAATTTCAGGTGCAAAGACTATTTGCAAAAAAGGGGAAAAGAGGCGTGGAGAACATAAACATTTAGTTTTAAATAACATTCCCACTTACTCTACCTCTAACTGTGTGTTAAGAGACACAACCATCCACTCACCTTTTAGCAAATACAGTATGTTCCTGACCTAACACACATTAACTGACTCTGGCTTGTGCCAAACGAGCAATAATACGTTCAATCATGATTTCCATTTGTTTTTTCTTTAGTGACAACGCTGGCATCTCATTTTCTCCTGCAACTGATCTGCATTTGCACCTAATCTAAAATAAAACACCGATAACCAGTGAATTAAGGATTTGTGTTTATTTATAATTTAAATGATTCAGCAAAGCAAAAAATAAAAACATTCAAAGTATAGATATAAAGAGAGGTCCCCAACCTTTGTGTTACCACGGACCGGTTTCATGTTAACACGTGCGGTGAAAATACCAAACAAACAACGTGATACGACATTAAACAAAAATAAAGTGCACAAAGTAAAACTTACCAATGCCACGTTCTACAGTGTTGTGGATGTGTCGATCACTTGTCAAAGTGCAATTGCAATAAAGCAATATGCTTTTATTTCGAAAATATAAGGCTCGTCTTCCGCCTCCTCTCCGGCATTTCCAGCATTTAAAGACGCCCTACAATAAGTGTTTATTATATGGAAAAGTGGCGATTCCGATCATGCATTTTTGTTAATTATTAGAATTATACTGTCGGCATGTCACATGGTTGGGGACCTCTGGATGAAGTTATAAAGCACATTTCAAGTGATATCCATGTCATCATCATACTTATGATTTTAATAACACTTATCAGTGTCTTTCTACGCAACTGTCATACTCGGTACAATTTGGCCAATGGTTGAGATTTTCCATGTTGATATTTACGTTATTATTTTAGTAAAAATTGACAATAAAAACCGTTATTCTTTAATCCATCTCAGAATAGTCCTGCTTTTTTCTTCAGGTCAGTTTGTTTCCACTTTGGCAGACGCTGAAATTCCAAACGGCCGGTGCCCAGAAGTTTCTCGAAATTCTCATCAGACAGGAAGTCCTGAGGTCGGAGGAGCATAAAACAAGATTAGGTTAGACTGACCCCTGCTGCGCAGGAGCTGTCACTGCATGCTCAGAAACTCAAAACCTATTTCCCTTGATGATAAAATAAATAAGTAACCTTGAATACTAGAATAGAAAGAAAAAAACTTGTGAGTTCAATGTGACTTTACCTTACCTTAAAAAAATCAGAGTTTTGACTAGAGTACATATAGTAAACCCCTGACATCTTAGATGCTGAACCCACCTCTCTCTGACAGGGGTCCACCCCCTCAGGCAGCTCACTGACAGACTTGTTCACCAGAAGTTCAGGGTCCATGTACATTCCTCCAAATGAGGGAGCAAAAGGTGAGAGGGTCACAGAGCTCTGGCCTCTACCTGCAAATGGACTGGTGGGAGTGGAGGGTCCCGGTGAAACAGGTCCAAAACTATGGAGCCTGTAAACTGGAGGGGAGGTCATAGAGCTACCTGGAGCCCTGTACCCACCTCCGCTGGGTGAATTGGGACTAATGTATGACTGCTTAAGGTCCTGCAAAGAAGTGAGGAACAATTGTTAAGATCTGTTAAGATCTGGAAGTGAGTTTTGTAATAAGGAAGAAAACAATGAAGCTCTGTCATATTGGAGACGTTGAAGGCTGATATTGTATATGTGATATTAGCATACAGTGTTAATTAGATATTGAAAATTAGTGTCAATCACTTACTACAGTGACCTGTGAGAGAGATGTTGCATCGCTCAGCTTTTTTTTCATTTCCTCATAGGAGTTGCCTCCCTGTGGAGAAGATCAAGTGAAGTAGTGCTGAAAATTAGTGGCATGCAGTGGTCCATCTGTGATCCACGAAGTCATGTGACACATCCACACATACAGTACATAAACACTGACAGGATTTGCTCACACAAAATGATTTTCTGTGTCATTCATGTGGCTGCCTACAATAATCAGTGCTGATGTCATGGAAATGTACAGTTAAGACTCTCACTAGTCATGTGACCATGCTTTATTACACGCACAGTGACTCAGAGACACTAATAATTAACTTACGCTCCACTTATGAGGATCCCACGCGTTGAACCACCCTGTAAATGTGGGCGGTTCGTGGCCCTGTTTGACAAAGACGATGGGAGTGTTGGGGTCGCGGCCCGCAGGGTGGGTCTTCAGGTATTCCTGGGCAGAGGTCCACGCCTGTTTGGTCTCAGACTGGTTGGCAGCCTTTCCAACCCAGAAGAAAATCTATGAGAGAAAAATTATGGAATTAAAACTTTTGAACTGCCTCCAAAATTATTTTTTTTAAAAACCAATTCAATTTATAAAATTAGAATCTTCAATTAACTCTAGATTTTTGCAGTCAGGACAGGATTAAAATTAACAAAGTCTTTGACCTTAAAATTGTTTTAATTTAAAAATGCAAAGATCAGTCAGTATTTATGTAGTGAGAAGAAAGTTCAAAAAAGTTCGACATTCAAAAAAGTTAGATTATGTTTTATATCTATCTAGATAAATGTGGGTTCAATGACATTCATAAAAGTTAGATTATGTTTTATATCTATCTAAGACGGTAAAGGTCTTTTGGTCTTTTGACCTCTCACCTCCTCCCAGGTGTCCAGCAGCATCACGTCCTCTTCGTCCAGGTCAGTCTGAGCAAAGTCGTCCACCTCAGTCATCTTAAATCGACCCGTCTGATTGGAGCATTCAAAGAGACGTGGGCTGTGAGGAGGCTCCTCCCTCTGCAGTCTGGAGTTAACACCAACAAAACAAAATGTCGTCAACAATCTCAAACATTAACACTTTAACTCAAATGTGACCTGATGTGATGGGGCTGCGTTCCATTTCTCTACACTTACCTCTTGTCACTGGCATAAGGAGCTTTTCCTCCCAGAGCGACCCAGAACTCCGCTGGCTCCTGGCCCTCCATCACCACCTGCTTGTCCTGCTTGGTCAGCACATTGGACATTTCCTTGGCCATCACCCTCTCATCACCGCTGCAGCCCTGGACACAGAGAGACACAGACTCAAGTAAAAGTGTTATATGTCAAAATGTTAAATAAATCAGTGCAGTTCTCACCTTTCCATACCACAGGTAACAGACGCGATCTGTCTTCAGAAGGAACACGTCGTTGGTGTTCAGAGATGAAGCTCTGGCCTGGACCTCAGTAGCTTTGGTGTTCAGCTCATGGGTTCCTCTGACCTGGAACAGCCTGGCACCACGGTCAGGGTTCACCACACCTGGTCGTCCTGTGCCGCCCTTTAGACACACACACACGCACGCACCCAACTGGCAAGTAAATATTCAACTAATCTTTGTGACTTTAGTATGGTTCATTACATCTTACATTCATGATTGATTTCCTTTAGTTTATGACAGGGAAATGACAGTGTTAAAAAAAGATAGAAAATCGGTTGAACGTTAGGCCAGAAGATAAAGATTGATAAAAGTTAGGCTGGAAAATCTAAGGTGGTGTTTCCCAAACTTTTTTGAGCCGAGACACATAGTTGACATGAGAAAAATGCCACCCCTCAGGTTGTTGAACTAAGAACTGGGCTGAAACTGCTCTAATTACTGTCTCTAATATAAAAAATCCTACCTCGAAGATGATGAGTTTTCCTTTGAACATAGCCAGGAAGTGTCGGGGCTCCTTTCCCATCACCACCCTGACCTGGACTGGAGCTCCGTTATATTTATTATCCACAGTAACAGCCTGGTAGGCACAGGCCGTGATCTCATCATTGGTGGCGTGTAGACCCTGAAGCAAAACATTTCAAATACGAAGAAAAAATTAAAATCAGAGACTGTATAATAGAAACAGGACAGGAAGAGAGAAAATAAAGGTGAAGGCTGAATATTATTGGTTAACGCATCAGTTGAACTATCCAATAGGAGCCTGAGCATGAGACCACACGAGTACTCATAGAGTCAGGAAACGTCACAGATGTCGTTTGAGTTAGAGATCGTCCATGAAGGTGTCACCTGACCATGCCACTATTGGACGATTTAACAGCCAATCACATGTTGAGATACACAGTTAAATATGTTATATACTGACCTGCCACATGTAGAGGATGTACTGCTGCTGATGAGCTCTTTTGTACGTGTACAGTATCAGGTAACAGTCCCCACCATAGAACTGTCCATATGTTTTGGGATTCACCTCAGCCAGCTCCAAGTTCTCAATGCGCCACACCTGATATAGGCAGAAAGGCCGAATGACATAAAAAAAAAAAATATATATATATATCTGTATCCACTGATGGTGTAAGAAACACTTCATCTGCTCCACCTTAATGTCTCCTGACGCATCGTCCACCATGCGCTGCTGTGCTGCCAGCTCAGGGCGGGCGTGGAGCTCCATCACATTGAACTTCCCCTGGTCGACCTTCGCTGTATGAACAACCAAAGTACAGTCGTACGTGAATGAAATACCGGATATATTTTTATATTTAATATATTTTATTGGAAGTTCAAACAATCATTTCACTCTCAATCAGGATTAGCTATAAAAAGGATCACCTGTTAAAGGCAAGTGACAAAAACCACTGCAGACAGGATGTGTGAATTTTAAGGTCGAATTGTGTTCAAAAGATTTCAGTTGTTATCACAAAGTTCTCAGAAATCAGAGTTTGAATAAAATAATACATTTTTTTAATCAGTTAAAAACCACACAATTTTAACAGGACTTTGTTCGGGTTTACCTATCTTTCCCACACTGTGGGTTGTTCCCAGCCCCTGAGTTTGTCCCTTATCCTTCCAGGACTTGAACAAGTGCTTGAACAAGGCTGATTCTCCACCCTCACTCATCACCTCCACCCTGGTGCTGGCCGGGTAGTTCTTAGCTTTGATATAGCTCTGGAAGAAATCGTCCAGTTAAAACTTCAGCTGATTATGGCCAAATAACGTTGAAGTTCCAGCGATAAGGGCGGAGAACACTGACCTCTTGTGGAGAGACATTTGTTAAATTTTCATGAACTCACCATGGCTCGGTTCATGGCATTGCGCTTCCTTCGAGGCGTGTTTGCCTTTCCACACCATCACACTGGAGCCGTTCTGGTCCACGATGTAACAGTCCTGACATTGGAGAAAAATTAAAAAAAAAAGAACAATGACTCTGAAACAACAGGACAAAAAAAATAATCTTTGACCCGGAAATTGGGGGTGTGCAGTGTGATTACCGAAGACTGCAGCAGGTCTTGTGTTAGAGGTTGTGTCGCCACCTCTTGAACCACGACATTACCATTGTTATCAAAAACACTAGAACCAAGGGGAAACAAGTTGATGTCATCACAAATCACATCTCTACTTTTTCACAGTGCTAATTTAGGACAAATATTGATTGCTCACTGGTACAGCTTGACACTGGAGTTGTGCACGGTGTTAGGTGCATCATCAGGCGTGGCCTCCTTCAGGTGACCACTCCTCTGACCCAGCACTGCATTCATGGCCTTCATCAGATCAGGAGAATCCTTCTCATGACCTCCCTCCACCACACCAATCTGAGCGCGACCTCCTCTCTCCCTGTCGCGGATGTCCTGGGCCAACAGCACAGCCTGGAGCCAGAATTGGACAAAGTAGAACCAAGTTTATAATCGAGGGTTTCCTGACGTAAATATATGGAATTTATTTAAAGTATATACAGTTAGGCTTTTCTGCAACAGCAGTACTCTTACTCTTCCTTTTCCTTTAATTTCTACTTCAGAAGGAAACTGTACCTTCAACTTCTCACTCCTGTTGCTCTTGGGGCCGTTCCACTGCACTATGGTTTTCCCCATATCCAGGAGGAATATGTCCCCGCTGTTGAAGCTCTTCCATGACACCTCCACCTGCACACAGGCACGCACACTTCTATATGATGGACACTTTAATTCATTCATTTACCATCATTTAAATATTCAGACAGATAATGTGAAGGATTTACTACAACACCGCTTATTTAATGAGTAATTAACGTCCGTTAGGGTGAGAGGTGCAGCAGGGTGAGAGGTGCAGCAGGGTGAGAGGTGCAGCAGGGTGGAGCAGCAGGGCGGTGCAGATCGTCCCTGTTAATAATTTCCTACCTCTTTGGCTGTGACATGTTTCTTCCCTTTGACGTGCAGGAGTCGCAGGACGTTGTAGGCATTTGTGTCAACATGGGTGAAACCCGAGGCCACTCCTCCCTTCTTGTATCTGCAGAGAGAGATCAGCAGAGTGGGCAAAGGTCAGGTGTCATAAAGAGGACAGATGAAGTAATATGTCTGCAAAAGGCTGCGGCACAGCTGGTGTTTACATAGTGAAGTTATTAGAATGCTAATAGAATTTTAATTTTGTTAATAAATACTGACATTTATGAGGGCCTGAAATTCATAGAAATTATGTGAATTTGAAATAAAATAAAAACATTCCCCGACCGTGGTTTCCTTAGAGTGGAACACTGGCTTAACAGCGCCCCCAAAAGACAGCAGGAAGTAGTTTCATTTCATGTGGAGTTTTGCTTCGCAAATCTATCACTTTAGAAAGTGCAGCACGCAGCCATTTCCCAAATACAGTTTAGACCTCATTAACAGACGTGAAAAAAGTTTATATATAGCTATGTATGAAGATATATAAAACTTTAACTTCTTATTTAGCGCTAACACCTGTGGTTTATGTACCACATACGGGGTATGTAAATATACAAAAGAATCTTTGACTGTTAGAAAAGATGACAATGATTAAATGTTATACAGGAAGTAGCATCTGTTGAGCTAATCCAGTACTCCACAACATTCAGAAATCACACACAGGGATTAGCCGCGTTAGCTTTGCCTCTGGAAGATTACAGCTCACAGCTTTTCTTTCACTCACATGATGCCATTTTTGAAGTAGCCCCTGAATCGCGGTGATTCGCTGCCCTGAACCTCCCTGTGCTGCACTGGGCTGCGCCCCAGATGCTCGTCCAGCTGGGTGACGTAGAGGGCGGCCGCACCCTGCTCGTCCTGAGACGAGGCCTTTCCTATCCAGTAGTGAATGTCAGCAGACTGTCCCGAACCTCTACTCTCTGTCATCTAAATAAAAAAAAACATATACACGGAGAGACAAATATTTCACATTAAGACTATGAGTCACACGTCGCAGTAGTAGTAAATATTTCACATTAAAACTATGAGTCACACGTCGCAGTAGTAGTTGTTGTTGTTGAGTCTGGCTGTGGCCAAAACACTGCACTCACATGTAGAACAACATAACAGTCTCCTTCAAAGAAGTTGCCAAAGCTCTGGGCGGGAACAGGAACCATCTTCAGGTCCTGAGGTTCAGTCATACACATGGTAAATATTTCAAAATCTCACACATAAATAGAATTTGGTGCCACACCCTGGTTAATGCAGAGCGGCTGCACCACAGATGTCAACATTGGCAGAGTGGCGGTTTTCATGGTGTTTGTTTTGGGATTGACTCACGTTGATGGTCCATATCTGCAGGCCTGGCTTTCGAGTGACTTTTTTGAAAGCCTCCTGATTGTCATCGCTCATCATTCTGCTCAACTGGAACACAAACAGAAATAATGCTTTGTGATTGTCATTATGTGTTTGTAATGACGTACACAAAGAGAACCTACTGTGCCGGCAACTATTTAGTCAATGTGTAAATAAACACGAATTAGCCAAATGACATGTTGATACCTCGAAAAATATATTTCACAAAGAGAGAAATGTAAAAACAAAACAACAAGAAAAAAAAGAAAAGAGGAAAGAAGTATTTGTGCAATATTTTGTGAGTATTTTACAAACCAATATCATAACGGGTTTTTTGAATATACAGTATATATATGACACTATATACAGTGAGTTAGCACATTAGCTTCGGGCCTGTGGCCCTGCTCTGTTCCTCGCCCCACAGTTTGGTCATTGCTGCAGGTGTAAAAATGGAATACACATGGAATAAGGTGAGGAGCTGCCCAGCACACACCTTTATTAATATAAATACCTCAGGTATTCATGGCCTCAGATAAGGAGCCACACACACACACACACACACACACCATTACACATCATTATAACTGTGCAGAAATAACAGGGTGATTACTTTTACTAACTTTTACTGCAGGTACTATGACCCCGAGCTGAGTCCAAGATCAATGATTATCTGATACATAAAATAAAGGTACATTAAACTAGATTTAGCTTCATCTAGTGGTGACATTCTCACACAACAGCAAAAAACAACCAAAACTAACAAAAAAGAAAACACTTTCACTCGAAAATCTCCAGATAACTGTGTCTGGATATTAATCAATAATAAGATTAAAGATGTGATTTATCACCATATATTATACCTATTTTACCCATTTGAATCAGATCATGTTTTCATCTCATCTGCTCCATAATCTGACTCTGTCATGTCCATCATCTGATTAGTCCTTTGTCACCATGTGGCTCTGGTTTGTGCGTGAACGGTTTTAAAAAGGCCAATATAACAGAAAGAGAGTGTGTGTGAGTAAAGGGTGTAAAAGGTGAACAATAGATCATGTGTGTGGAGTCATTCCTCTGACTATAAAGAACAGTGTCAGAACCAACTGACATGAATGGATATTTACAGTAAATAAAAAATAATATTAATATTATAATCATCATGATGCAAGCACAGTGTGTATAACTGTAGAATGAAGCTGTTCTGCTCTTCACCAGAAGCTGTTGACCATAATTCTACTTTAACCATAATAAAAGTCGGACCACACCCTCCAGGTCCTGTCAGTCCATTCACATCTCAAATAACACTTTAGTATCAGGATCTCTGAGTAAAAAACATGTTAGTCAGAATGTTTTTGTCAAAGATAAGAAAAAATTAAACTCAAATGTAATCTCAAACTTAAAGAAAAAAAACACATGAACTCTAGGTAGAAGAAAAACAAGACTTCAGTCTCAGAATCTTACCAAATATGAAGAGATTATAATTTCACAAGTAAATCATACGCTACATTTACAGCAGTCATAATTCATGTCCATAAGTCCAATCATCCTTTAAACCATAATCCTCAAATAAAAAAATAGACCAGGAAGTCAAATAATTTAAGAACACACAGCATATTATTTAAATATTATGCACAGGTTTAGCTTAAATCCCACTGACAGTTAAACGTGTTGATGTAGCTGCACCGGCGCTTCCTTTTGATCATATGTAAAAATAACTTTGCATTATGAAAAGTGGAAAAAGAAAAAGATAAAACCATCAAGTCAGACTGGTTGCAGGTAAGTCCACCTGGTTTTACTCTTCACACCAGCTCTCAGTTCACTCTGAACGCTATCATCTCTGTCAGGACTAAATATAATTCAATAATTTACATTATTACAATATTTCTCCACACGTGATTAAAAAAGGCTGAAAAAACAACAAAAGAAATCTATCAAAGAGTCAGAGATGAACGTCTCACCTGATGCTGCTCCAGCTCCTGCAAGAATATGGAACTCAGTCTGTGAGATGATGAGCTTTTATGTTGAAAAGTATCACTGCACACACACACACACACACAAGCCTGGATGTGTTTGCCTCCACACCCACATATAAACACACCTGTAATTTCCTGCTCTCATGAAGTACTCAGATTAGCCTCAGACTCAGAGACCACGGCGGAGACACTGAAAGTTCTACGTGTGAGTTCTCGACAGCAGACGGAACCGTTATTAACCAGAACCATTCATTCAACATCTGCTCCAGCTCCAGCTGATGGAGACGGCAGGAGCTTCTCGCTCGGTGCTGCCTCACGAGCACAAAGAGCCTCCAGGTGGAGACCATTGAAGTCTGAGATCTCCGTGTCTCCACTCCAGGTGGAGACCCAGGTGACACTATTGAAGTCTGAGATCTCCGTGTCTCCAGGACCAAATCACTTAAGTCATATCACAAAACCAAACACAGAGAACAACCGGATCCACAGATCACCAAGTACCACCACTGGTAGGTATACCAGCGGTTGAGCAACACAGCTTAAGATGAAAAACTAATACTTGAACGCTCTCAACCACCTCCATCCACAAAATAGTGACACCTAGGGGTCTGTGGAGGTATTGCAGGGGTGTCATCCGTTTTTTTTGTTGTCTATAAATCCACAGTATTAGAAAGCCATTATGAACACATTGTTACACAACAGGAAAAACAATGATAAGATAATTACAGTTTTTTAATACTCCAACCGCAAAGACTCTGAATACTACTGAATACTACTGAATACGAGACTCTGAATACTGAATACTACTGAATACTGAATTCTAATAGAATACAATACAAAGGCGTGAAGGAGCTGATGTCATGACAGAAACCTTCACAGGCATCAAGCACTCTTTCACAGGAAGACTTCACAACAGTATAAACATTTAAACCAAACTCGGTTGTTAAACACTGCAGTCAGGAGTTTTAATCCACGGCTCAGCATCAGAGGAAATCAATGTTATGCAACCGTTTCATTTACTTCTTAGTTTGTCAGCTTCAAATACCAAAAGAAATCATTTTTCTTTTTTTTATCATTTCTTACCTTTGACCCTAACCTCTCAGTTCTTGATGCACGTCTTGGATCCATCATGAAGATATAATCATTTCAACAAGAAAGTGAAAGAAATTGGCACAAATCGGGAGAAAGAATGTGCAAATGAAAAAGTGCAAAGAAGAAAGAAAAGAGGAATTCTTTAAGCTGAGAGAGAAAAGGCTGAGTGGAGGCTCACTAATCCTCCATGCTGCACTGAGAGTGGCTGCAGCGTAAGCGGAAGCTGAAGGTTCACATCAAGATATCACATGCAGCTTCGCTGCTCTGGGTCGAACATTAACCAGGGCATAATATTAATGCAGCTGCAGATCATTTAGCCACGCAGGCGATGGAGTCTGACCTTTATGGAGAGGCTGACACTCAGGGAGTGAAGGGTAAATGTTCAAATGTCCAAAAAGGTTCCTGAATACAATGTTCACACCACTGACTACAGAGGTCAACAACTGTGTCTGTCACACTGGGCCACACCTTTGGAGCCGGAAACTCAAAATAAAATAAAATAAAAATCACATTTTGTCTAACATTATTATTTGATCAGGGACCAGGTTTGGACCATTTGCAGGATCGAATATGATCCACGGGCCACCAGTTGATAACCCCTGGACTAGGGTTTATACAGGACAGTACTTTACCATCTAATGAATATAGTTATTTCATGAATGATGCTAACCTTTAGCTACCACGGCTAGTGTTTGACAGCTTTGTGCTTTTTATGAATGGCTATTACCTATTACCTTTGTGGCTAATTATGTTCAGACTAATAATAAAAAGATGTTTAAATACAACAAAAAAAACCCAAAACTTTAACTTTTCTTTTTAGCCTAAGAATGACGCCAGCCTTCTACATTACAGTCACATTGAGAAACAAACTCGAATCGATTGAATCTTTTAAAGTGTTGTGCTTGTGCTGTGTTGTTGCAGTATTATTAGCTACGGGATTTCTTTTAAAAAGGAATCAAACCTGTTCTTTAACCTCGCTTTAACCGACCGATAAGCCGTAAATGACTATGTAAATTTAAACAATTTAATTGTAAACAAAACTCTTTTTACCCATCGTTCACTGAAGCAGGTCGTCTTTCACGTCACTACAAAAAGGGTTCGTGTGAACACAGCAGTGTCGTCTTCCACCCATTCATAGCGTTTACCTTTGAATCCAAACAGATGAATGTAGTGTATTTGTTTTACAATTTAGACTTTAGCCACCAGGTGGTGCTGTGGCACAGAGATAAATATTAAAACAATAAGGTCGTTTTGGTTTCTTTTTCTGAATTGAAAACTAGCATGAAGTTTTATCAAATCTACATTTGTATAAAGCGCAGTATAAATAATTATTAATACTATTATTAATACTAACAAGGTAGCACTACGACTACTACCTCTAACTACCACTACTAGATTGTTAATACTACGACTAGTACTACTGGTACTGCTAATGCGACCTATAATAGTATTAATAATAAATTCAATAAAGCCAGAGCTAAATATTGTTGTTTTTAGTAATATTACTAATATGTTTAACACGTCTATTAGTTCTACAACTAATAACAATTAACTAAATAAAACCTAATGATTTTAAAAATTAAATAAGCAGCACTAGTACATCTGATACTACTATTAGCTGTAATATTTAATAAAATAAATTCCATATTAAGTAAATATGGCTGATTTGTAAGTATTATTACTGGTACTACTACAATAATATGTAAAAAATAAAAAGCTGATTTTAACTGGAAATTAAAACTGGTAATTACATGGCAAATATTAAAATTCCACAGACTGCAGGACAGAGTGGAGGCAGACATTGGTTGGATAAGTGCTGAGAAGACATGATGAACCAATGAGGTTTGAGAGGGAGCTGCCAGGTAAGAGGAGCAGAGGAGAAGCCCAGAGAAGATGGTGGGTGTGTTGTAGCTTTAGATGTTGGTGAACACCCTGACCTGCTGTGCCGTCAATTAATTGAACCCATGTGACCAGAAGAGTCCAATAAAGACGACTTACAGTTCCCTCACACCACCCTGACCTGCTGTGCCGTCAACTAATTAATAAAGACGACTTACAGTTCCCTCACAGACTCGGTGGATCTTTCCGTGGTGTCGTCACTACAGTCAGAAAAATCACATCATGTTATGAATCAGGTGTTACAGCAACTCATGCCTTCAAGTCACCACGGTGAAAACCATGACAGTGTGCAAACCTGCAACTTTTATTAATAATGTTTTACAGTACGATTTGAACAGCATCCTTTACAACAATGCACCACGATCCCACTCTACCCCAGTAAATACGTAGTTTCACATCCTCTAAGCTAATCGTTATATTTGACTCCGATGTTCAACAGCCGCCGTCGGACTGTGACGTTAAAACAAAGAAAAAAAATAGGATCAATTTACATGTCATTACGATGTCATTTAACAACAAATCACATCCAATTGTAAAACTCTTTGGTAAATTTGACCATTAAACATTGCATAACTGAAAGGAATAAGAAAAAAAAACACCATTGGAGTTTAATGAGGGAGAGTAATAATTCTTAATTCTCCCAGGTTAATGTTGAAAGATTTTAATTTCTGCCACTGAAAGATTTCAGGTATACAGTTAATACTCAGAATAAAAAGTTGTGCACCCCCACCCACAGCCAGACACAATAAAACCAGCACAGTAATGAAGGCACTTCATTCTGTAAGAGAAGATGAATCACAGTCGATTGAACAAAAGGTCAGTCAAGAAATAAGGGCCTGCAAACAGTAAGAGAACAAAAAACAACGCAGCTCAACGACGGTCAATCCAACCAACCAAAGGTCAATCTGAGAAAAGAAACAAACAAAAAAAGAATCGTCAAAGAGTTCATTCTGGTAACTAAAATAGTAAAACGTTGTCTCTCTGTGATAGAAAAATTACTTTAGTGTATCTGGGTCTTACAAAGATAGAGTATGTACATACTAGAGTAATATAATCTGTGTCATCATCAGCAGGAGTTCTGTACAAAGGGTCCAAAAATCTAGAGACGGTGAGATTCCAGACAGATGCTCCCCCTGGAGGTGATTTCTTTATTGAGATAAATGTCCTGAAACCCTGGCATCAGGAGACGGCCAGTGGAGGATGATGATGCTGTGAAGCCATGGCGTGGAGGTGATACCTATGTGGATCAAGAACTGGAAATTTGTTCTGGCATTGGTTTGTAACAAAATGTAATGCATGTC